CGCCACCTGTGGCCCCTGCGGTCCCTGGCGGTAGTGCTGGAGGGCTAATGACCGGTCTGAGGTGGTGGCGGTCCCACTCCAAGGACAGTGATTTCTCATTGTGCCTCGGAGGCCCATCCCTGATGGGTGCGGTTCGTTAGAAGTCGTGCCTGGCAGCCGTCGGGTAACAGCGGAGAACCGGGAGGCTTGTACTCTGGGGGGAAGAGCAGGATGTGAGCTCTGTGACTGTCGCAGCCGAGGTGGAGAGGAGCCACCCCTGATCCGTGTGTAGGTGGAGCATCCCCATGACTAGAGACAAGTGCTAAACCTTTGTCTTCATAGGACCACGTGGCCCGTGTATGTGGCTCAGGGGTTGAGGACCCAAGGGTGACCTCTATGTGAAGTTCAGGCACCGCCTTCCCCCAGCCTCCCGGCGCCCCTTCCATGGCGAGTGTCACGCAGTGTCAGAGCTGCCGGCCTCCGTCTCCCTTACCCGGAGCAAAACCAGGCTCGGCCCGTGTGCCATCGCAGACAGAGGCTGGTGCCGTTTTATGGAGGCTGTGCTGCATGCAAGAGCTGCGGGTGTCTATCCTTCTGTTGACATGAGGTCGCAGCCCTGTGTTCAGTTCATGTGCATGTGTGTGCTTGTGTGTGTGTGTACGTGCACGAGCACACACGTGCATGGCGTGGGCATCGGAAGCCTTGTGAAGGGTGGTGGAGGGTAGAGAAGCTGAGGAAGGTGGAAGATGCTTATCCAGCCTCCAGATGGCTACGAACACAACTGATTAATACAGACAACGCTGACCCACTTGGTTTCCCTGCTCCCTACACTAAGAATCGGTATGTATCGCCACCGCCTCTGTTTTCAACTGCTTTCCACACGTTGTGGCTTCTGCCCAGAGTGCAGCCTCCACTGTGAAACACCTCAGATTAGAGGACCCTTTGGAGCATTTCCCCTTTTACCTAGAACATTGCTTATCCTAGAACAATCCAGAGAAAAATACGATGCGTGAAAATGTTTTCAACAGCACTTAGAACAGTGCCTGGCCCGTCGTTAGCATGAGAGAAGTGTCCGCTGCTATTATTAGTGCCCATCCCGGTCATTTGCTAAGTCGTTCGTTCACTCGTTGAGTGTGTGATGTCACGTATCTAGGCCCTGATATCTGCTTTGAAAGCCCAAAGGTGAATGAGACGGAGATTCCGCCCTCAGGGAGAGGATATTCCAGTAGGAAAAGGTAGGCAACCAAATGCATAAATATTACGATACGGGCTCTAAGAAAGGTCTAGATGGAGCTTTTGGGGGGTGAGCAGAGGCAGGAGGGGGCTTCTGGAGAAGCTGGAGAGGAAGGCAGGGTGGTGGGAGGCGGCATCCGAGTTGCAGCTTGGAGGATGGGAGAGGCTCGGACATTTACAGCCGAAGGAACTGCTTTCCAGGGAAGCGCGTGGTAGGAGCCAGAGCATGTCTAGAGAGAGGAGAGCTGCTTGTCTCGCCGGATAGAAGGCTGCGCACTCACCAGAACACAGTTTTGCGCCATTTCCTGAGTTTCCTTGCCCCATTTTTTTCATTTCTTGACCCATCGATTATATTTCAGCAGATTATCATCAGGAGGGGCAGTTACTAAAACTGGTGCAAGTGGCTTTGTAATGATAGCCTCTGCTAAATGTATCTATCTATTCTTGTAATTATTTAGGTTTCTGTTCTTACAAGCTGATCGCCTCCAGTGCTAAAACGTCCTTAATAGTATGCAAATAGCCGCCAGGAAGCAATGTAAATCTGGAAACATGTTTGCCTTTGCCCTTTACCATAAATCTCCCACACAGGCTGACCTGCAGCCGCTTTGTACATCTCGAGAGGCCCAGAGTTATTCTGCTCAAAATAGATTGGGGCCGCCTATATCCCGCAGCCCTGCTGAGGGGGAAAAATCACATCCTGGGTTTTACATTAGCTTTCTGTTATGACACACACAGTGCCGTGACGACTTTACTCTTTCCCTGACAGTAATTCCATCACCTGTTTGTGATAAATCACTCTGCCTTGGGTGTGTGAGCTTATCCACTTAACGGCTGGATGGGCCCCCACGGGATGGTGTGGAAGGCACTGGGAGGTCGCTGAGGAACGGAGACAAGGTTGTTGGCAGGCCTGCCCACCTTTTTGTGCCTCAGTCAACGCATCCATCCAGTGGGGATGTTACTATATGCTGCAGAGAAATCATAGGTTTTCTATGTTTTAGACACTTATTCTGTTTAAAGGCATTTTAAGACATCAAGTTCTAAGTTCATAGGCATAATTTCTTAAAATAAGATCATCTCACTATGGAGAAGACTAACGTGTTTTCTTATATACATTTTCAGCTTGAAATAATCGTCCAACAATGCGAGCAGATATAAACGGAAATCCGTAGTATAAAAAGGCTGTGTTGGGCTCAACAGCCTGTAAGCCCAATTGTGAATAGCTAAGGAGCCCAGAACAGACAGAGACAAATGGCATGTGCACTCAATAAATATTTCTTGAACTCATGAGCGAAGTATTATTTTCTTTGGGGAGACAACTATGTGTAGATTAAACAATGGTTACGTTTAAACAGCCAAAAGTATTAAAGCGAATATCCATTCCTGGAATTTTGAATTTCTTTAGATTGTATTATAAGTTTTATACTATATTTTAAAATATTACCTAGTCAAGTACATGTTATGCTTACTTACTTTAATAAAGCATGCTCGCTTGCGTGCTCACTCTATCATATATATGCATATATATATATATATATATATATATGCTTCATATGTATATTGCGTATACGTGTGTGTATGTGTGGGGGAGCGTGGGGGGTGTATACTGTTTTCTGAGACGTTTAACTATGCCACAAAAAATCTTCTTGTTTAAATCGTGAATTCAAGGCCAAGAGACTCCTGGACCCTGGTGACTGCTTATCTGCACAGAGGATCTAGTGGGGAGGGGAAAAGAGCGGGAACGTTAGTCTTCCGAATCAGTCAGTGATTTTTCCCCCTGCACCCACCCAGTGTCAGCCATCGATGCGCAGTGTCCTCAGCAGGTAGAAAGAAAACCCTTGGGAAAAATGTCAGGGACTTCACAGGTGGGGCTGCAGATGGCTTCGTTAGCCATAGGTCATGAGGCTCCTTTCACGCCTTTCTCCTTTGTCTCTGATATGTCCCGTTTCCGCGCTCATAAGGCCTGTGAGCTTGGGATCGCGCTTCCAGCACAGACGGTCTTGTGTGCTTGCTCTTCCAGCTCTACGTGGCCACCGAGGCCATCCTCATCGCACTGGTGGGCGCCACACCGTCCTACCACTGGGACCTCGCCGAGCTCCTGCCCAATCAGAGCCACAGCCGCCAGCGGGCCAGCGAGGACCAGGCCCTCGGGGACTGGCTTCTGAGGGCCAACGGCAGCGAGATCCATAAGCACGTGCACTTCAGCGGCAGCTTCACTTCCATCGCCTCGGAGGTAAGCCCGGGAGCGGTGAGCAGTGGAGCCCGAACAGGCCACTGTGGTCACCAAGTGAATGCGTCTCCTTGCCCAGGTGGAACCACCTTTTTGTCTTGTTGATTTAAATTTCAGCCATATCTTCAGATAAATTTGAGAGTTCTAGTAAATTTCAGGGTTTAAAGGAGCCAATTCCACGAAAACATTTTTCCTTCTTACTACCAATGGGAAAAGCCTGAGTTTTACCAAACTAGTTAGATGAAGAGCGATAGAAACTCCAAAAGAGCTGCTCTTCGATTATAGTGTCCTTTAAAGAAGTGCATGAAAACTTCCATGTTTCTTTATTATAGACACAAAAATTAACAACGTATAGAGAGAGGAATGGAATGACCCACCTGTAACATCTGTGGCTCATGCTGAAGTCCAGTCCCACGTGTAGACCACGTGGGGCACCTTGACTGTACAACCTCAAATACAAAAGTACTGCCTCGTGTGGGCAGGAAGCCTTACTTTCAACTGGGGCTTTGCTGGCCAAGAAGGTTCGTATAAAGACAGTCCCTTCTGAGCCAGCCAGAGGTACATGAGCTGAGTGTAGACTGGTGATCAGAGAAACCCTGGGATGAGAGGGGCAGGGCTTCGTGCTCAGCTGGAAAGCACTCGTACTGGTTGTACTAGTACTCGTAAAGTGTTAAAATATTCTGTGTCCTTTGCCTGCTGCCCACAAGCTGTCCATTTGCTCACTGCCATTCTGGAAGTCCCCCCTCCCCCATTCAAATTTTTTGAGTTTTTATCATGAATGTATTGAATTTTGTCACATCCATCAGTTTGCCATTTTCTACATTAATTGCAATGATCGTGTGATTTTTCTTCTTTGCTTTCTAACATGGTGGATTATACTAATTGATTTTTAAATATTGAACCAGCCTTGCATCTCCAGATGGCACATACTTATTTTTATATATTGCTGAATTCTAGTTGTTAAAATTTTTGCTAAGGATTTTGGCTTCTATATTTTGATGGATATTGATTTGTAGCTTTCTTTTCTTGTACTATCTTTGTCTGGTTTCATGTCAGGGTAATACTATGCTTCATAGTATTGAATTACATAGTATAGAATACAGCTTCATAAAATGAATTAAGAAGTGTTTCTATTTTCTGGAAAGGTTTGTGTAGAATTGGTGTTATTTCTTTAAACATTTGATAGAGTTCTCCATTGAAATCATCTCAGCCTGTAGATTTCTCCTTGGGGAGCTTTAAAATTATGAATTCAATTTTCTTAATAGTTATAGGGCTATTTAAATGCTCTACTTTGTATTGTGAGTTGTGGCAGTTGGGTTTTCAAGGAATTGGCCTGTTCATCTCAGTTGTCAAGTTTATATGTGTCGAGTTGTTCATGATATGACCTTATTGTCCTTCTGATGTCTTCAGAGTCTGAAATGATATCCCCTTTTTTATTACCTGATATTGGAAACGTGCGTCTTCTCTCTTATTTAATTACTTATCTGCCATGAGAGAGGCTTGTTCGTTTTATTAATGTTTTTAAAGAACCAGCATTTTGTGTCATTGATTTTCTCTGTGTGTTCTGTTTTCAATTTTATTGATTTCTGCTCTGCTCTTTATTATTTTTTCCTTCTCTGTGCTTTGGGTTTTTTTCTTTTTTTTCTTTTTTTTTAGGTTTGAGATATGGTAGCTTCGATTATTGAGGAGAGTCTTCCTCTTTACAAATGTAAGCATTTAGTGCTATAAATTTCCCTCTCAGGATGGCTTTAGCTGTGTGCCACAGATTTTGACATGTTGCAATTTCATTTCTGTTTAGCTTTAATGTATTTTCTCTCTTCAAGAGATTACCTCTCTAGTGTTTCAGTTGTTGCTCAAAGTGATGATATTGAAACTGGTACCCAAGCTTGTCATTAAGTTGGTAGATTTTTAATATACTGTCTGTGACATATAGATAATATATGCTTCTTACTGAAATTATTTGGTATAAAATGAGAGTTAAAAAAACAAGTATAAAGTCTTACTGACCTCTCATATAAAACTTTTGAAAGTAAATATCAAGATAGAGTCTGCAGAACTCTATAGTTTAAGGAGATGGTGTTAAAAGTACACATTTTATTTTTTTATTTCTTATATTTTTTATTGTTGACACTGTTACAGATGTCCCCCATTTTTCCACCTCCACCCAGCTTCCACCCCCACCCTCCCCTGGCCCTTACCACACTGTGGTCTGTGTCCACGGGCTATGCATACATGCTCTTTGGCCAATCCCTTCACCTTCTTTCATCCAGCCCCCC